GGCACTCACATCAGAAGGCTCTAAGGAAGGAATGTGGCCCAGGTGTTAGCAAACACAGTATACAAGGAATGCAAGAGCTAGAAAGGGCCCAAATCATAAAGGTTCTGAAGGTCAGGAAAAGAAGTATGGGCTAGCTTCAAGGCCCCACAGGGGAACCAAAATCAATGAGGGGGAAAAAAAAAATAGAAAGCAATTTTAGAGGCACCTGGGCTAAGTGGCTGCCTTCAGCTCAGGTCATGACCTTGGGGTCCTGGGATCAAGCCCTGCATTGAGCCCCTGTTCAGTGGGGAATCTGCTTCTCTCTCTGCCTCCACCTCTCCTGCATGTTTGTGCTCTTTCTCTCTCTATCAAATAATTAATTGATTAATTAATTTGTAAAGATCTTTTAAAAATAGGAAGCAATTTCAGATTCTACATATTATTAGATTATCCTAAAATTATCCTAAAAATTATCACTGTCCTGCATGGACTGGGCTCTAGAAGTATTCATCAGCGAGTTGCTGGTCCTAGAATTTTCTAGGCAGAAGTATAACACAGCTGGGTGGAAACGCTAGGGGAAACAATCATTTGATAGTTCAACTCTGTGACATTTCTTTTTTTACCAAGAATACCAAGATTCTGAGATTTTCCATGGTATATCATACATACCCCCCACTTTTCTCTTCCTTCATAGGTTCTCTCCTTCTTTTCTGTTCATAAATCTTTTTTCCCGTCCATCCTTCTTTCTTTCCTTCCTTTCCTTTATCTTCTCCCACTTGATAGTACTGCCAATGCATTATTCTCGCCTCCACTGATAGCATTAAAGGACAAGTGATACAGTGTTTATATGGAAATATCTTTCTATTTTCAGTGACACCGGTTTATAGTAATACTACGCATGTAACTGGCACTGGAGGCCCTTATAACCCAGGAGTCCCTGAGGGCAGGAACCACATCTTTTCCCTCCAGTATGTATTCTGGTGCAGAGGCATGGATCTACTACATGCTCAAAAAACAGGTAATGTTAATATGCATTCACAGGCTGTGTCTGCAAAATGCCTAACTGCAGATAGTATGGTTTCCTCTTAACAGTTCAGATCTAGGAACGGTGAGGGCAATGACTGGCCTAAGGAGTCAGGATAGGAATAGGAAGTTGATTCAAGAGTCTTCACTATGAATGAGGCAAAGCCACAATTACAGATGGGATCACAAAGTCAGAATGCAGTGGAGGTGAAGAGGGGCAAAAAAATGAAGCCTACATCCATAGGATTTCTAGCAAAGGAACACCTTCAATACCAAGTGATACTAAACTTGGAGAAAGGCCGTGTTAGGACCAGGAACTGAAACGAGAAGAAAAGAAGAAAAAGGGGACAGAGCAGGCTGCTCTCAGAACCTGGCACGAAGTGGAGCAGACCAACAGGGGAGTTGGGCAAGGAAGGCCCAAGAGCAGGTGGCACATAGGCAGCACCTCTGCCAGGCCAGACGCTGCTAAGTGCTTTACATCTTTTGCTTCATTTCATTTCATGACAGTTCTCCAAGTTTCAAATTATGATCCCTGTTTTAGAGCTGCAGAAACAGAGGCTAAGAAAAGTCAAGTGACTTCCCTAGAGTAACACTGCTGAGTGGCAATGGTGCCGGGATTTATGCCCGGTCTACTTCCAACGCCTCACCTATCACTCGATCAGAGAAAAAGTAAAGTTCCCCTTATCGAAAACATGGGCCAGGCGGGCCAAGTGGAGTCAGGGAGGTCTCCAGGTGAGTGCAGGATGTGCCTTCAGCCAGGTGAGCTGGCCAGCAGATATGCTCTGCTCTTGGCAGAAGAAGGAAAAGAGAACTGTAGTTACAAGTTTTCTTAGCTTCTCCCTCCAGCCAAGTCAACGTCATGTTTGTTCTAGGGCCATCTTTTATCCAAATAATATCTTAATGTTTCCTCAAAGACAGTATCAGTGTGCTTACTTTGGATGCACTGACTCCTTTCCAATTCCCCTGGGGCCACATTCTCTTGAGACATCTCTCTTCCACACATAGCAACCACACTAATTTGGAATTGGAATCCTACACAAAGAGGGAAAACACCCAAGAGGAAAAGAAATTCTAAACTTTTTTTTTTTTTTTTTACCCACCACAGATTTAGTTGGGAGATAAGAGGGGTCCCACTTCAAACACTGTGCAGTACTATTAAATACATTAAGCAGAAAGAATCCTTAAATGTTCTGATGTGCTCACTGTTTATATTACAAAATTAATTGAAGACAAGAACAAAGGCAAACATTTGCAAATGGAGGAGAGGGGTGAGCAGCCAAAAATATACCAGGAAACAAGAGTTGGTTTTCTGCTTTTTAAAAAATTGATGAATCCATTCCACATGACTCCTTGCCTACTGCAGATTTTTCTTAGCAATGGGTACATAAATAAAGTACATCCAGAAAGCTGTTTTTATGGAACGAGTTCAAACGAAAAAGAAAAATAATTACAGAACACAGAATATTCCTTATGTAAATCCTGAATTAGAGAATGCCAAGAAACCAATGGAAAATGATAATGCCAGCTGACTTAGGACTTAGGACGAGGCCCTCAAAGATGTTTCCACTTTCTAAGGCTTCCCATTGCAGCCTTTGTCTGACTCGCTATTGGGCCAGTTTTGCCACTCACATAGTAAGTGTATGAGGCTTGAAGAAGTCAGTTGTGCCCCCCAGGTCTCATGATTCTCACCTGTCAGGTGAGGGGCACACGACTGGCAGATTCTCCAGACACCATCTCCCATGGTTCGATGTAAACTCTACATCCCACCGCCTTTTCTCATTCATGTTCTGGTCTAAGCCAAAGCCGCTGGATGTGTGAGTAACACTAAGGATTCTTCAGGAGAAGGAGGCGCATGTGTTCTTTAGGTGCTTTTCTTGAAGTAAGACACATACACTGTGCATAAAACATCCCACCACCACCCAGGCAGGGGTCCTTCTGCACTTGCTCCTTACAGGGCAGTCAGGACTGTGGGCTCTGTAGTGTGGTCACATGGCTCAGGTATCATAAAAGCTATCTACCTTGCGGCTATCTTGTGAGCCAAATACTGTGGATCAACTTTACTCAAAATCTAGTCCAGCCTGCATAAGTAAATCCTCTCATATAAAATTACCTAGAATTCAATTAAGTTGCCTCAATTTTTTTCAGTTCATGATTATTTTTATTTGTTCTTTAACACTAATGATAATAATAGGCATTATTCTGTTCACTGCACCTTGTGTACCTTTTGCAATACGTTTCCATTTGATGAACCTTGATACTTGGTTAGGAAATGTGTGATCTCATAAGAGCAGGTTTCCTCAAGACAAACCACTCTCGAAAGCAAGTGAGAAGTTTTTTGTCTTTAATTCCTGTTTTAGACATGTTATAAACATGCAAATTTATTTCCCAGTTGATTCAATCTGCCACCTCTAAATCTTTAGGGAGAATTACAGAAATGGAGATAAAATCTTGGTAATTTATTCAATTTTATCACTTCTACTGATCCCATAAAAAGACTCCATCTGTCAAATTATCTTTTCTTAAAAAAAAACAAAAAACCTTTTATAATTTTCTTTATATGGGAATGTTGAAAACGAGTAGTTTAAGTATCTGTGTCATGAAAACTATTGACGTTCCAATAAAATCTGTTCTTTCTAAATTATCTGTTCCTTAGCCTCTTTTGAGAGGAAACTTCAGCTTCTATCATTTGTTTATAATTTGCTTGTGCAGCTTGGGATTTATTGCTTTGGGTGAATATATTATGGCATGTTTGGGAAGTGTAGAATAAAATATTCTTATGTTAACATATTCTGTGATTTGGATTCCAATCCATAATCAGTACATCTTTCTTTTAAAATTTCTGCTGCCTTGGTTTTATTGAAAGCACAAATAGTAAGCATAAAGAGATGAGAAACCTAGTTGAATCCCATCCTTTATCATCTACATTAAACCTTGTTTCGGTAATCACAGGCTGTGTGAATCCCAATGCACCTGAGCGTCTAAGCTCCATTAGAGATCCACCCCATGAATTTTCTGGCGTCTAATCTTAATTGGGCCCTCCTTGCACTAATCTTTGGTTAGCTCTTCCATTCTCTCAGTGACTGTTCCAGAGCTTCACTTTTCTCTTGAAGGGTCTACTATCTATTGTAAGAAAAAATACAGAATGCCCAGTTAAATTTGAATTTTAGATAAGCAATGAATAATTTTTAGTGTATGTTCCCTGCCATATTTAATATGTCATATATTTTTATTTGCTAAAACCTGACAACCCTGCCCCTAATTTCCCTTTCTCTCACAGCCACCTTTGTCTCCTGGTAAAATCTGAAGTCATTAGCAGGAACTCTCTCCAGTTCCTACCATCCCTTCTCCTACCTTAAGACACACATTTACCTGTCTCTCTCCCGCCCTGGCAACTAGCCTGTTCAAGACCAGCCTCCGCACAAAGTTGCTGACCTCTCCTGTGTGAGCTTCCTAACACAAAAGTACAGAGACAGAAGCTATATTGCAACATGAATGCATCCTGCAGAGCCCAGCCCTGGATGCATGTGTTTAGTGGAGAAGCAGGTTTGAAATATATGGAGCCAGAAGCTGGTCTATGGAAAACTCTTCCAAATTTTACAGCTCAAAGAGGAAAGAAGCTTGACAGTTTTCCCAGATTTGACAACAATCTTAAATATATACGTGACATCATCAATAATTGTTGTGAAGCTTAAAGAAAAGTTTCTAAATTACCAATTTTTAAAAGTTTACACAAGTATGCTAGAGGAAAGAAAAAATACCTATTTACGGAAGAGTGATATTGCAAACTCATTATCATATGAATCAGTGATAAAAAAAAACTATGAAGTAAAAAATTTAGGGGAAACCCATTTTAGTGGTACTTAAAAGAGTAAATTTTTAAAAAAATTTATATGACTTTCTAGATCTTGTGATGTTGTAGTATTTTTCAACTTTTAAAAATTTCTAATGATTGTTATTTTTGTTGTCATTCTACATAAATATTTGCATACCTTGTTTTGTATCCACAATTTTGTATTCTTTTTCTTAAAATGGCCTCCACTATCATGTGAGCTTCAAGGTCCCATTCAAGCCTGGATTCATCCCTGTGTAAAGAAATGCCAGAACAGAAAGCACAACTGTATCATTATTGATCAAAGTGGAAAATTTATAAAACCTACACCAGGTGGAAAGGGAAGCAGACAAAGGATCTAGAAAATCCCTTGAGGGAAACAAGCAGTGAACTTGATAAATTCCAGAAATGAAAAGCAAATGCCCTTGGCAGCTCTTGACACATTCCTGGAGTTCTCTTCACCGAGTCAGGTTTATTTTGGGAGAAATGGTTCCCTTTCCCTTGCTCAGCCCTCATGTCAGATTCCTCAGGATTCTTTGCTTGTCTTTCCCTCCTTACTCACACAATTAAAAATTACACCATCTCATTTATTCCCAAGTTTATAATCAAGACCTATCATGTAATATCATTTGACTTTCTCTAGGACTCACCTCTCTCACAAGTTTCATCATACTGAGAGGGAATACTTCGGAGCATTTTCCCAACTCACCATGACTACTCCATCACCACCTCCCAGGCACCCATCTTGTGTGATGTGCTCTGGCCCTCAGGCCACAGTGAAAAAGGGGCAGTCATCTGACCCAGTCCCGAGTTCCTTTTTCTATACATTTGGAACTGGGAGAGAGAGAGAGGGCAAAAGATCAGCTGACTTGCCTTCTCCGGAGAGCTAGACACGTAAAAGGTAAGTGAAGCTGAGCGGTGGGGCAAGCCCTTTCCACAGCAGAGACTCAGGAGAGGCCAGGGCATAAGCAAAGAGAAGGAGGCAGCGTGCACAGAGAAGCAGTGGCTTCTCTGGGTAGCCAGAGCGGCTACGCAGCTTTCCAGGTCCTGTGTCAGAACCTCCTCAAGATCCCGTTGACAAGACACCTCTGTATTCCCATAACATATTTCTCATTTTACCTTAAGTTAGCATGAACTGATTTCTGATACTTGGACCCAGAAAGGGTTAGTATATAACTAAGTATAGTTAGTATATAACTAATATAGCCACCAGGTCATATACAAACTCAGATGGACCAACCCCAAAGCATTAACAGAGAAACTTCTCTTTCCAGAGGAAATCCTGCCATTAGATTTGAGGGCATCTGAGAGTTTTTTTTCTAGGTAGAATTTTTGGAGCTCACTTCAATTTAATTACAGAAAACTTTATTGTTAAATATCATCAGCTTCATTACAGTCATTTGGATCATAGTCCAGCTGTTTCTTCATGGATATATAACTTGATGTAAATTGGATTTCCCTGTAGGAGACTGAGATTATTCCAACTTTTCCTGGAGTGATAGAATGAGCTGCAAATTGATAAAAATTATCCTTATGAGGTTTACCAATAATAATTACAGGAAATATTTTCTAACATGGCATATTACATTGGAGTGTATGCAAAAAAAAGTCTTTATTTAAATTTTTTAAGAGCTGCCTTTACCTAGTGATACAACAACATGGTATTGATTTGATAACTATCATTTTCTTTTATTTATTTATTTTATTTATTTATTCATGAGAGATACACCGAGATTGAGGCAGAGACACAGGCAGAGAGAGAAGCAGGCTCCATGCAGGGACCCCATGTGGGACTCGATCCTGGGACTCGATCCTAGGACTCGATACTGGGACTCCAGGACTATGCCCCGGGTCAAAGGCAGATGCTTAACCGCTGAGCCATCCAGGGATCCCAATAACCATCATCTTCTAAAATGACTTTGCAATTGCATCTTAAATAACTTAAGAAAGTGTAGGAAAAATGGATTTCCATAAGTGGTTACTTTCAAACGTTTTCAGGGAAGGCAAACTTTAGAAAGTCTCTTTAAAAGAGCTAAGTGCTAGAATCTTTATTGCAGCATGATCTAAAAACTGGAAACAACCTAAATGTCCAACAATAAGATGGTGGTTAAATAAGCCATAGAAATCTCTGTAGCTATTAAAAATGATGTAGGCTCATAATTGTTGACATGGAAATATATGAATGGGAAACTCAGTACTTTCCAAGTATAACAAGATAATTCTGATGACAGCAGAATTCCATCTGGGAGGGGAAGAGAGTTTGGAGAAATATTAAAGGTACTAGGGTGTGGTGAGCCCCCAAGACCAGGGGGCAGACCCAGTGCTCTGTATAAGACAAGAGGGATAATCTTTGTTCTTCCTGAGGCGAATGGGAGAGAGCTTTGCGGAGAAAGATGAGAAGAGGGGGCATTTCACAAGCTGAGAGAGCTGGGACCCCCGCAGCCATCTCTGAGAGGGGCTGGCTGGCGGTCTTTCTCCCTAGCGCACCACGAGACTGTTACTTGGTTTGTTTGGGGTTTTTTTCTCCTGTGATGTTAACAGCTCCTTGTCTTTTAGTGAAAATCAGAGTTGTGGGTGACATTAAGCCTTGACTGATCTGCTGTGAAACGGACACTGAACAAGTGAAGGTGGACCCCCAGAGTTGGCATTAACCACAAGACCAGAACTTGCCAAACTCCTGGTCACAGCTCTGGACCCTCACCTGGCAGAAACTGAGGGAGGAGGCTCCATCTTGCTTGTGTTCCACAGGCCCCAGCGAGGCCTCCTCCCCCCTTCCACAGCTCTGCTCCTGCCTCAGAGCAGCTCCCGATCTGCATCTGCCTCCGTGCCTTTGGTTCTGCTCTGTAACAACTCAGTCCGTTTCATCCCTGTTCCAAATGAAAGAAAAAGGAAAGATGATGCCCTTGAAATATTAAACCAAAGTAATTTTCATTCCCCATAAGTGGTGTTGTCCTATGACCCCTCACTCGTTGAATCAATGGGTTTGACTACTTCAGAGAAAGGCTGCATACTTAAGTAGAACAAAGTCATTACCCAGCTTGGAGTGTCAAACTAGATTTCTTAAGTTCACAGCAAGATAATTCTAGGCTTTGTTAAGAGAAAAAAGGGTTTTGCCTAAATTCAAAAAGTTTCTTTTCAACATTTAAAGAGCAAAGCTCAGGGGTCTGAGCCCAGAACTTCACTAGAATGTTCTGGTCTTCACCCTGCTGTGTGTGTCCCTCTGGGAGTACATGAAGATTTGCTAAGGGATGCATGGTCACTGGGAATTTTAAGAGAACAGTTTTCAAAATGATCAACTTCCATGTGTATTCGTTCCTAAAATTACCCTGCTTTTAGCATTTGCAGATTACCCTGCTTTTTAAAAGTATTCTCCTTCACAAAAGAAAAGCCTACCTCTCATTATCCAGAATCCTAAAATAGTACATTACCTAAGGGTACAAAAACCTCTAGGTCACCAAATGACTGGAGAATGCATGCCCCTGAGGGAAGGTTCTTTGAGAGCAACACCAGGTGAGCTCCCAGGAAAATACTAAGGGCCATGGGGGGGGGGTTCATCTCAACAAAGCTATAGCGTCATCCATGGCTAAGTGCCTCATCTATTTTATTGTTGTTTCTATGTATTAGAATTCAGAAGTGATATGGTTGTCATGAGGACTTATATTGAAACATTGACTTAAATTGAAAAATAAAATCCAGACTTGTCCAGACAGAAAGTATGGCTGATTTCGCTGACTGGCTAGATAACAAAAACCGACTTTGCCAGCCAGGTTCTGTGTGGTTATTTTCCATACATTGAATGAGGAAAATCTAATGTTCTAAGGTTTCAACAAAAATATATTTAGAGCACACATCCAATGTAAAATACACCAGAGATAACATCTTTTTCAACTATTAAATTTTGAGATAAAAAGTTTCAGATGTCAACCTAAAAATGTGAGCGCTTTCAGAATTCTTTTAGAGGGTGTAAAAGGAAAGTTTGCTTAAAAACAGTGTACAAAGGCAGGGTAAGGTGAAAACTCATTTTTGGTTAGACATGAAGGAGAAGTGAGATGAAGGGCAAGAGGTCAAGTATGAATGTGGGAGCTCCTTCCCCCACCTCCACCCTGGGACAAACCTAAAGACCCAAGAGTCAATGGGGAGTAGGGAGTACTTGGAATGAATAGATAAATTTGAGACAATCCTGGGTACAAGGGCTTGTTTCTTGCCCTCCAAGACCTAGTAGCTCAGGAAAAGCTCAAGCATCTTAGCCCACAACATGAAGTAACCCCAGGGCAATGGAAATGGTGGCAAAATATCTTTAGGTAGAGAAAGCACTGAGAGACCACCTGGCCTGACTGTCTATGGCAGTCACATGATATGAAAGAAATTCCCAAGGGCTTACATGACCCATTGAGGGATACAGAAGGGGACTAGGAGTTAGGAATGGCCAGATCTTTAGAGGAAGGTGGCTGAACTCCCTAGGTGCAATCCTACTCCCTCCCCCCTTCTCCTGTCTTTGCCCTAATATCATCCTGGTAGAAAAAAGGAGTCTGGACACCGGGGTGAACCTGAAGGAGGCAGTTTAAAACCAGTTGTAGGATTCCTACCCTGCATCTGTGAGTCATCAATAATTTACGCAGGTCAGTTTTTTCATTAGAGTAACATATATAGTTATGGGGTTTTGTTTTGTTTTGTTTTTTTCTATTCTCTTATTTTTTTCTCCAAGTTTTTTTTTAAGATTTTATTTATTTATTTATGTATTTATGTATTTATTTATTTGAGCTATGCAGAGGGAGTGAGAGAGAGAGAAAGCAGGAGCAGGGTGAAGGGCAGAGGGAGAAGCAGCCTCCCACTGAGCAGGGAGCCTGATCTGATGCAAACTCAATCTCCGGGATCATGACCTGAGGAAAGGCAGAGGCTCAACCAACTGAGCCACCTAGATGCCCCTTTCTCCAAGTTTTATCTAAATTCAAGTTAACACGTAGTGTAGTATTGGTTTCAGGAGTAGAAGTCAGTGATTCATCACTTACATACAACACCCAGGGCTCATCACAAGTGCCCTCCTTTGCGCCCATCACCCATCTTGCCCCCCCCACCCCCCACAACCTCCCCTACAGCAACCCTCAGTTTGTCCTCTATAGTTAAGAGTCTCCTCTGGTCTGCCTATCTTTGTGTTTCTATCTTATTCTTCCTTCTCTTCTGCAGTGTTCATCTGTTTTGTTTCTTAAATTCCACCTATTAGTGAAATCATATGACATTTGTCTTTTTCTGACAGACTATTTCACTTAGCATAGTACCCTCTAGTTCCATTGACCTAGTTGCAAATGGCAAAATTTCATTCTTTTTGATGGCTGTATAGTCATTGAGTTTTAGAGCTTGAAGGAACTTGAGAGATCGTCAGCCCTTTGTTCTCATTTGACAAATGTGTAAACTAAAGTCTAGAGCGATAATGTGATTTGGCCTGTGTTTGGAACTGGTATCAGAAGTGGTGCCTCCCATTGGCTCACCTTCAGACCGAGTCTTTGGTAGTCCTTTATGGTACCAGCCTTCTAATGCTTTTTAGAACATAAATTATCCTCGCTCAGTTTGTGTTCAGAATATCTTTAGTTTGGCTGAGCTGCCAATACCTCCAGAGTAGCCAGGAACACTTGACATTTTATACTGGTTTAACTGTATGTGGAGAGAACAATAGTGAAACAGACTTCATAAACATTGGTTTTAGGAATCATGAAAGCATTTTATAGTAGAGCTGCCCAATTGAACCCTCTGCAATTTTGGAGATGTTCTATATTGGCACTGTGCAATATTGTGGCCACTGGCTATTGAGGCTTTTGAGCACTAGAAATGTGGATAGTCTGACTGAGAAACTGAATCTTAAATTTTACTCAGTTTTAATTAATTTTAACGAATATATGAAAAATCACACGTGTACAGTACACACAAGTGTACTGGCCAATGCAGCTCTATAATATTCATAAAAATGAGGTTCCTCTTCTTTTTCATCACAAGTTTTGGGAAATTGGTTGAAACCAATAATTTCTGGCCTACCTACCAACATTTTCTTCAGATCTTTTACCTTTCAATTTTTGAGGAGACAATGTTTTATATTATGCCAGAACAATAGCCATTCTCTAGAAGATCAAACATGTCCCTTTGAAGGCCAAAGTTTGAGAATAAATCTTAGTCACTAGACCAAGACTTATTGGTGTTGTTCATTTAATTTTTTATTTCCTTGTACTGTGCATGTGATTTTAAAAATTAAATTCAGTTTTAATAGCTTTAACTTCTAAGTAATGTTTTCCTAATTCCCCTACATTTTCAGATGATATTTGGTCTTTAGTACTACTGTATCCATTACCTATCACAGTGTAACAAATCATCCCAAAACTTTGTAGCTTAAAACATCGACATCTTCATTATCATAAGCTTCTGGGAGTCTGGAACTAGGGCAGAGCTTAACTGGATTCCCTGGCTCAGAGGAAGCCTCTCAAAAGGCTGCAATCAAGGTGTCAGCAGGAACTGCAGTCATCTCAAAGCTCGACCCGGGGAAGATGTACTTCCAAGTTCCCTCCTATGGCTGTTGGCAGGCCCTGGGTCTTAGCAGACTGTTGACTAGAGGCATGAATTCCTTGCCATGCGGGCTTCTTAAGAGTGCCGCTCACAGCATGGGAGCTGGCTTGTGGCTGCTTTCTGTTCCTTGCCACATGGGCTTCTACATGAGCAGATCACAACATGGCATCTTGCTTCATCAGAGAGAAAGCCAGAAAAGCCAAAGATAGAATAGGAGCAAAGAGCCTGCTCTTTTGTATTGAATCTCAGAAGTGACATCCCATTGCTTTTGCTGTATTTTGTTAGAAGCAAGTCATTTGGTACAGCCCGCACTCCAGGAGAAGGGATTAAACAAGGGGGTGCACACCAAAAGGCAGGGATCATCAAAAATAACGTGAGAAGCTGATCTCCACAACTACTTTAAAGAAGGCTCTTTTTCTTGCTGGTCTAGTCAATCTTGAATCTTAGTTTCAGGGTCAGCTCTATCTCATGTCAGAATGTGGGTGTGTCCAATGTCAGCCACCTAGATAATGGGAGAACTAGACCTAGAATCCAAGTCTCCTAAGTTCCTGATCAGTTCTGTGTTTTCTGTCATACGTGTTTGGTTAGGACTCCAGCACAGGTACACAGAGCCTACAATGCCAATCAAAAGCATTTTGACTTTAAAACTTAAGCACTACAGTTTCTAAACACAAGAGTGCTATGAAAGAAGTGATTTTTAAAGAAAGATTAGTGTGATGATTGTAAAGTGAATTGGAGAGGGAAAGACTGGAAATTACATTAAGTCCAATTTATTTACATTTAGCATATTTATGGCTACAGTTTTGTAGGTTGTGATTGCAAAAACATCCCATGTGTTCTCATAAGTCCTAATAAAATGGTCTTTTTTGGGCCAAAAATATATCACATAAAATGTTATATTGGAAAGTCTATGACCAAGTTTTATAATACACAATATTTTTACATGTGTTCATTAAAATAAACTCTAAAAGTTATCTCCAGTGAAGTTCCAGAGATGATGTTTTCTACTAACATAGGAAGCTCCTTGTACAGTCAGGACTTGAAAACCCTAAGAAGATATTCTTCTGTAGTCTGTAAAACGTTTTAAAGTACTGTTCTTCTAAGCCTCTACCTCCAGCATAACAACACACAAACTTGCATTTCAACAAGTAGGATGGTGTGGCAAAGTCTTCTACTTATCCATCTGTATTCACCCTCACCGCCTTCTTTTATTTTTTTTTTTAAGATTTTATTTATTTATTCAAGAGAGACACAGAGAGAGGCAGAGACACAGGCAGAGGGAGAAGCAGGCTCCATGCAGGGAGCCCGACGTGGGACTCGATCCCTGGTCTCCAGGATCACACCCTAGGCTGAAGCAGCGCTAAACTGCTGAGCCACTGGGGCTGCCCCCCACCTCTTTCTTTTAATAGTAAATTTTCTGAGGTTTAGCTGGGCACATTGCCTAGTCAAGACTACATTTCCCAGCCTCCCTTATAGGTGTGGCCATTAGACAAAGTTCTGACCAATGGGGTATGAGAAGTGATGTAACTCCTTCCGGGTTGTGTCCTTAATGGGAAAGGTACGTGCTCCCCTTACTCCCTCTTCCCTTCTGACTGGTCGGTATGTAGATGTGATGACAGGAGCTGGGAGTAGTCAGAGGTGAAAGCTCCCAAAACAGCCTTGGACCATTTACCTATGGAAATTTCCATGACAGATAACCATTTGTTTTTTGGTCTAAGTCACTGTGTTTTGGAGTGTCTATATTAGAGCAGATTATACTATAATATAACTACTACAGTAACTATCTACCTTTCCTTTACCTTAGTTTTCTACCTAAAGAAATAACAAAAAATTTTTATAAAATAAAGAAATAACAGATACTTAAACAGAAATAATAAGGAAAAGGGATCTATTGGGCTATGTTAAATTCTTGCTATCCTCTCCTACTTAACCAGAGAAGCTACTAGGATCATAATGGTAGTAGCGAACTACTAATTTTTTCTTGCTATTTGACTTTACTCGCCCCCCCCCTTTTTAAAGATTTATTTATTTTAAATAGAGAGAGTGTGCACAAATGAGTGTGAGCCAGTGGTGTTTGGGGAGGGGCAGGGGGAATGAATCTTAAGCAGATTCCCTGCTGAGCATGGAGTCTGATGCAGGGCTGGATCTCTGAGATCATGACCCTAGCCGAAATCAAGGGTTGGAAGCTCAACCAACTGAGCCACCTAGGTGCCCCTCTTCCCCCCTCTTCTTAGCCAACAACTAAAGAAGCAATAATATTATAAAGTCAGACTTGCTAATGAGCCAAGGGTGACTTTAAGTTTCCCTTTCTCAGGTTTGACTCGGGTGAGGGACTAGAAATCTATTCAGTTTAGTGTTGATAAATGCTTAATCACTGCCTCTCTAGGGAAAAACAAGCTCCAGCTGATAGAGTTTGCCAATTTCCATGGTGTAAATACTCTCACCATGGTCAAGTTCAACCTAGGAATATGAGAAATGCTCACATTTGCACCTTGCAAGATTAATACCAGCTGGCTCCAGAACACTGGGATCTATCTATCTGTTGCCTCAGTCTTGGGATTGCTTACACTCTGGAGGAGCATGCTAAATTTTGCAGTGATGTGCACAAGAAACAGGAAAGACAGTTTGGGGTGTGGCTCTGATGCTCTCAGAACTGCGTCTGGGGCCTGACCTTCATCTGATTTATGATGCTCCTGCAGTAACCTTTCATCCTTTTGGTTCAAGTCGGTGGTTAGTCAACTTGACTGCACACTGGAAACGATGGGGAATTTTAAAAACTAGCAATGCCTGGAGTCCAGCCCCAGAGATTCCGGTTCAACTGATCTGAGCCGAGAGTGTTAAAAGCAGATGGTCTTAATTGTAGCCAAGGTTGAGAACTGCTGGTTTAAAGTAGTAGACCTCTGGGGCACCTAGGTGGCTCCGTCCGTTAAGTGGCCAACCAGCCAACTCTTATTTCAGCTCAGGTCATGATCTCAGGGTCTTGGGATCAAGCCCTGTGTCAGGCTATGTGTTCACTGGTGAGTCTGCTTGAGGATTCTTTCTCTCTGTCCCTCCCCCCACTCACTCTCTCTCTCTCAAATAAATCTTTAAAAATAAATAAAGTAGCAGGCCTCTTATTTATGTGACAGAGGGTTGGTATTATTATCTTTGCTTCTGGCATAAAGAGGAAGACGTCAATGGCAAGGCCAGGGCCATTTTCTCAGTGAAAGGGAAGCCTGAGGGGGTCTGCGCTCTGCTTCCTCTGTGGGTCCTAGGAAGACCCAGGAATATTACATTTCTGAACCTTAAAAAAACACTAGTGAGTCTTCCATTTTAATTAGAAATTTAAGTCAGCATAGGAAATGCTGAAATCCTAGAAGCTGTTAGAAATCATTTAATCATCTCTGTTATGTTTTGAATTTATATAAACTAGTATTTTCATTGTGAAATCTGGTTCAATTTCTTTCTGCCCACATTAGAAAGAGATGCTAAATTTACTGCTATTCAAACTAGGTTATACAGTTTTTGATTGTTAAGTTAACATCTGAAGTAAGTTGTGATTAGAATTTTACAAACTGGGGCACCTGGGTGTAAGAGCCGGTTAAGCCTCTGCCTTTAGCTCAGGTCATGCTTTCAGGGTCCTGGGATCGAGCCCTTAGGTCGGGCTCTGCACTGAGCAGGGAATCTCTTCAGGATTCTCTCTCTCTGCCCTCCCCCTCTTCATACACACTCTCTCTTACTCTCTCAAATAAATAAGTAAATCTTTAAAAAGAAAAAAGAATTTTACAAATCGATAAAATTGCTAGTTTACTAACGAATCATTTTCATGCAGGAATATGTCATACAATATAAAAGTCTATATTTTATATAGACTTTTATATTATATAAGACTATATATTATATAAGACTTTTATATTATATAAGTCTATATATTATATAGACTTTATATATTAGACAATATATTGTCTAATATAAGCAAGACACTAAACATCTGTTGAGCCTGGCACGTGGTCAGCAGAGGGGCAGCATGAGATGGAGGAAGAACACAGGAGCAAGAGTCCTGGATGATCAGCTTGACACGGTTCAAGTCAGATGCAGTTTCCCAAGTCATAGAAATGAGG